TGCCCTCGCCTGAAACCTCCCCCTCCACAGAAACGCTTTGCTCCCTTTGGTGCTCTTAACCCCTTTTCCAATCCAGCATATTCTTCCAGTCCAGCTTCCTCTTGCTCCTCAGACTGGCTGGAATCTCTTGAATGGCAGAAGACAGCTGCCTCTTCCATAGACACTTTTGATCTCTTTGAAGGCACTTCCTCCCCAGAGGAGCACCGTAGCCCTGCACCACCATCTCGCTCATCGAAACCCTTTGACACGGCTGAAAATATTGTCATTCGGACGTCAGTAGCCCCTTTGTCATCCACCATTGTTCATGGCTCCGAAGCTGGCATCACCCACCTTTATCTGGCTCAGGGGGTCATTGAGGCACCTCCTGCTCGTCTCAATGGGGATGGTTCACCCTGGCAGCCTCCTGGTGATTTATCGGCGCTGTCACTAGAGGAGGTATCTAGGTGCTTGCGCTTCATCGGCCTCTCTGAGGATGTGGTCAGCTTCTTTGCCCGGGAACGCATTGATGGTAGTATCTTTGTACAACTCACTGAGGAGATCTTATCTGAGGATTTTCATCTAACCAAACTTCAAGTCAAAAAAATAATGCAGTTCATCAAAGGCTGGAGGCCCAAAATCTAGATTGGGGAGAGAAATTTTCTCTGTGGATTGCAGGAGTTAGATTCAGGCTGGCCCCTAAGTATAAAACTAGGAGAGAGGCCAAAGCAGATACCGCTATGTCAAAAATGATAGCAGGAGGACATGAACCCAAGAGCAACACAGGATTTTGATTATGTCAGTTTTAACCACAAACCAATGCAAGGAATTGGCAGGAGGTTGCAAATTTCCTTTTACGGAAATGGGCAAAGTAGAAATCAGAGCAAAATAGTTGCACATGAATGATACTTTATGATGGGTTACTATTGTCTTTGTGCCAAGATTAGCAAGGAGAGTTAATTGCCTTACGTAATTCTTGGGTCGATGGTGTAGAAGAGGAGGAAAGCAGCATAGCCAATTTGTGGGAAGAGGGTTACATGTTCCTTTTCTGGCCAAGTCTCAGAATCACCAGAGCCAAGTTGCCTACTTTTCCTGGGATAACATTCCTATTCATCTTCTGACTGTTTCACGTAACATTAGCTTGGAAGGGTTTTTGTTTTGTTTTTTAGTAAGGGACAGGTAGTGCATATGTATCTTTACGATTGTTTGGGGGCAATCAGTTTGAGGGGGGCTCTTGATATAGAAAGTAGCAACACACATAAAAAGAGGGGGTGTATCTACATTTTTCCCCCAACTGCCTTCACAAGGTTTTATACTTAAAACGTTTGGAATGAAATGTAGGCAATGCTATACTTTATAGCTGAAAGAGGTTTGGATAGAACTCACCTGGCAATCTCTGCCCTAGAAACCCTGATCCTTAATCTGGGGTCTAGATTAAAATGTCAGTGTGTCAATTTATATTTTACAGCGTTGCTTAGAGCCCCACTTCCACATGCAGGCTAATTTCAGTGTTGTACTGAAATGCTGGAGAAAGCATCCTGCATGTAGAAAACCAATGGGCTTAAAAGAAGGATTTTAGAGTAATTTAGAAGTGCTAATTGTGCAAAATCAGTGTGTATGCTGACAGTGGTGTCCACCCACCTGCAATTCAAAGGGCTGCAGGGTAATAAAAGCTTGATGATTCTGCTGTTTTTACCCACCTTCCTAAACACTTGAACTTTTTAAGCACCTTTGCACTGCTGTAAGGGCTAAAACCGTAATAACTGTGTGCTGCTTAAATTTCATGTTTCTGCACTAAAACTGTGGAATATTTGGGCAGCCTACAGTTTTGCCTATGCAGAAATTCTGTAGCACCCACTGACAGTTTCGTATAATTTGTTTCTACTATTCTTAACCAGATGTCTGTGTGATTTTTTTGGGGTGGTGGTGGTGGTGGCAGTTATTTACTGCACCTTAGTATAATGTATAGACAGTTGGTGGTTTTTTAAAAACCCAACCTGTAAATCTTTAGGCATTTTACTAATCTTCCTCCTTTCTCTTGGCAATTTCGTTCTGTAATTGCCTGCCTACTACAGTCGAGTTTTCCACATTTCAGCAGCAACTGCCTGTTTCCTAAGACAACCACAACTTACTTTCACAATTGTTTTTAGCTGAAAATGAGGCTAAATGGTTTAAGCCTAGAGGAGTTCAATGTATTCATTTCTACTTTTAGTACTGCAATAATCAAATAAACATTTATTTAAAAATGTGTGCCTAGAATCTGTTGTTCAGAAACAAACTGAATATCTGTTATAGCAGAGTTCCCAAAGCTTTCCGGCTTTGCGGGGTGGGGTAGGGGATGGTTCCACGTGAGTGGTGGGCACACACACCCGCCACTCACGCAAATGGAGAGCGCACATGCTCAGCTGCTATTCACGCAAGTGGGGATCTGCACATGCTCAACCACCATTTCCGCAGCCCAATTCCGAATGGCTCAAGGCCTGGTAGTGGTCCGTGGCTGGGTTGGGGACCCCTGTGTTATAGAATAGCAACTAGAGTTATCAGCTACTTTCAATAAAGATGGGAAGAGAACAAACCAAAGCAATCGTGCTACATCAGATTATGAGCCTCTCCTGTCTAAATGTCTTCATACAATGAGGTAACCTCAAGGAAGCTTTCAAGCAAGATAACACACAATTTGCACTCCTGCTTATGTTCCCCAGCAACTGACACTGAAAAGATAGGCTCCTTCTCCCCCAAACTGGCAACTTATAAAATAAGCCAAAGTATGCTGGATCCCCATCCCTTAAAGGCTGATTTGTTTTATTTAAAGCATCTGGCTGGAGAAAGATGCCTTCATCTGCTTCAGTATTTTGATTGTTTATTTCCATACATGGAATTACTTTTGGGTTGTAATGCTGATTGTCCTAATTTGGATGCTTTTGAAGCTCTTAGCAGTGCCCCCAAACCTTTTAAAAATTTTCTACAATAACTCTGTATCGTGTGCTTCCTCGCCTCCAACGTAGATCGTTTTGGTGTAAGTTAGGAAGTTCTAGTCTCAGTAAAAATCATTGGGCAATTTCCATTCATTTAACTTAAATGTCTTCAACATGGTTTGCCAATACACCCCAGCTGCCTATTGATGCCCTCAAGCTACCAGCTCTCCCCACTGAATTTAATTATACTGCCTCCAACACAATATTGTCAAGAATAGCTCTACACTACAAAGCATTTCTGAAAAATAAAAATGGCAGAATTTTAAACCTTGTGTTTATGCATAAGAAAAAGAAAATATGTTAAGGAGAGCCTAGAGAAATTTGATGAACAGAAAGGTATTATTTTGTAAGCTAATGCATGCCCACTGAATAGATTTTGCTTGTTTACTTATTTTTACACAGCATGTTTTTGCTTTGATGCATGTATATATTTGGTGCAAATCTTGCTTAATTTGTGTTTTGTCCTGGATATAGCACATGCAAAACTTCATGAACTCTAGTACTAGCAAAATCCCAAATCCATCCTGAAAATCCCTGCATTCTCAGATTTATTGACTTATACCAGTGGTAGGCTCTCCAGGATGCTCTGGAGATCTTCAAATGACCTTTGATAAACTAACCTTATCAGAGCACAGAATCCCAGAGGTTTCAGTCTCAACTGAATTTTGTTTCAGTTATTCAACATTTCAGTAGCAGTTCTATCCCTGAATGAATGACAAAATGATGTATAGAACAATACACTAGAATTTATTCTTATGAATTTTTTGCAAGCTACATCTGCTTTCCGATGAGTAGTTCCTTGCAATGGGCCTGAAAAGTACCATACTTTGAGCAGAAACCTCCCCATTCTTTCTCGTGATAATGGGGAAATTAACATTCAGCCTGATGAGGGGTGGGTCAGGAAGAAGTAGTGCCTGAATAACTAAGGCACTTAAAAGAGTTAAAACCCACAGCCCTCCGATACGAAGATCTCTTGTAGGTCTTCCCCTTTTTTGGTTAGCAGGTGCCAATTCAGGCAGTTCTCTTGTGAAATTTCTTGCTGGAATCCTTGGCATGGTCAAGCAGCAACTGGCACGGTGTGAATTGACTCCCATAGACATCTTCATACTTCTTCATGCAGTCCACGAGCTGCTGGGCCCCAAAGTGGTCTGCATATTGGAAGGGGCCTGCCACAACATTCACAGAAGTGAGGGAGGAAGAGAAGGTGAGACTTCCTAAACAATATGGTCTTTATGCCAAAATTATTTCATAATGCTGGCCTTGACTGCCATTATTCCTTGATTACAAGCATTAATGTATCTGTAGGTATCTGATAAAAAATAATTTGCAAGGCGAATAGTGAGTGGATACACTAACTATATAACAGTGTGGACAATCAAGTTCCACTGGATCTTACAAACTCTGGAACTGCAGACAACTTTACACAGCAAAATGAATGCTATGAAATGGTGGGAAATGCAATTCAACACATTCAGAGGACTCCAGGATGCCTGTACTTATCCCTGGAACCACAGTTCAACTATTGCCGGTTCCCGGTAATCCTCAAGAACACTGTAGGGTAGCTAAAATTGCTGCTGCTAAGAAAGATGTCAGTGTTTTGACTATTTAATGCCTATTTGCAAGAACTCAAGAAGTATTTCCTTGTGGAAGGAGTTATACTGTGGAACAAGGCAATCCTGCTGCCAATTCTACATTACCAATTGAAAAAATGCAAGCCAAATTACTATCACTTCAAAAGCTACTTGTAAGATTTTTCCATTATTAACATTGCTTCCAACCCTTCGGCTATATAAAAGACATTGATTAATTTGACAACTCTCACCTCCCAGGCATGGTGGGAAGCCTAGTCCAAATACAGCTCCAATGTCTCCCTCCACAGGATTGCTGAGGATGCCCTCTTGTAAGGTCAAAATGGCTTCATTCACAAACCTGGTCACCAACCGCATTTGGATATCTTTCTCTGTGGACCTGGGAAGAGAAGCAGTAATTCATTATCCACCCTCACGGATAGATTAGACACATAGCATCTGAAGCAGTGACATAGAAGGGAGGGGACTATTATCCAGTGGCAGAGCTGACAAGTCTCAGCAATCTTCATTTAACTGGATTTCAGAAAACAGGTGATAGCAAAAGCCTATTTTTTTGTATTTTGCAGAAGGGGGGCAAACCAACATGGTTTCATATATGGATTTATGGGACTAGGCTTTCAATGCTTTTCCATGCAGATGATCTCAGGTCAATTCTGGGATGTTCTGCGTGCAGATGTGTAAGGATTTCTGACAGCAAATTTGGGGAAAAGCTCCATCTATCTGAAATATTGCTAGTTAGAGTAAAATAAATTGTGCTAAACGGATAATGTTCTGATTCCACATGACAGCTGTTCATGTATTTACACGTGAGCAGGGAATAACTAAAGCCAATGATCAGGCCTTATTCTGGAATACTGCATCTATTTAGGAAACCTCTCTTTTCCCACTTACACCTCTGGGTTGGCAGCGACTTTGAATTTCTCTAGAATTTCATTCATTCCAGTGTTGAGTTCCCGATTCTTTACACCTTGCTTGTAAATATAAAAGCCTTTTCCTCCTTTGCGGCCTGTCGAATGAAAGATAAGAGGGTAGTGAGGATACACTTAATATCAAAAATGGCAAACTTTGACCAGAAAAATACAGGAAGGTTCAAAAAGATGTTCTAGCTTGTGGAAAGAAGAATGGGGTAGGGAGTGGGGAAAATATTCTTCTATTCTAAAATGCAGTGACCATTTTACTCTATAAAATCTAAAGGTAGGCATACACTGACTGCCTTGTTTAGCAACTGTTCAAATTTACAATAATTAGGAAAAACTGTTGTGACCAACAATAGCAGGAACAGTAATTCTACCGCATCATGTCTACAAAACCTGAAGTCCATGCAGACACCCAGCTCTGACAGGCTGAATAAGTGACTTAACTCATGCATTGGTCTCTATGGTAGTAACTGTTCTAACAATAACAAAAGCAGAATACTTGGGATAACCAAGTCACCTGGAAACCTGTTTACTCAGCCATATCCCAAATTACTTTTAGAACAGTGTTTCTCCAGCTTGGCAATTTCAGGATGGAAGGGCTTGCTGGTTGGGGAATTCTGGGAGTTGAAATCAACCTATCTTAAAGTGGCCAAGGTGGAGAAACATTACTTTTAGAATAAAGAAATGAACCCAGAGATTGGGACCAGCTCTAATGCTCATCATCCATAGTCACCACTTTCCCAGTAGTGATACAGACCAATGCAGCAGATATTTATTTATTTATTTATTTATTTTTTGGATTTATATCCCGCCCTTCTCCCGTAGGACTCAGGGCGGCTGACAATCTATTTAAAATACATACAAAACAATACAAATTTAAAATTAATTAAAAGGAATATTTAAATATTTGTCGAATTTTAAAATATAATTAAAACCCCCCTAAAAATTACCCTAGGCCAGTCCTGCAA